CTTTATATGGATATAGTACATGGTACCAAAGAAATATCTAAACTGTCAGCTGTATACAACCATTTTCTCAGATCAATTATTAAAAATTGTTTTGAATGAATGAAGCCAGCAGGTCATAACCTGCTGGCTTCATTAACTCCTTCTTTAAACATCATGAACTGGCGCTATATAGAATCACAAAGAAGTGTAACAAATAAAAATCACATCAATTGAGGACTTTCAACAACAGCAACAACTAAAATGGATAGACCATTTAACTCGAAGAAAAAATAATGGCATAATCAACATGCTAACTTTCCACACTACTTTAAATAAAAGGTTAGGAAGGAAACCCCCTTTAGTACTGAAAGGTATGATAACAGATAATGGTCCTGAGAAACCTATATTCCTGAAAAATTGTTTTCATTAAAAGATTTCATGAATTTCAAACAACCAGTATAGGATGCTCAGTCAATGAATGCCAAATGTTTCTTTATACGGAAATGGCTAACATTAGCATTATAAAATCAGTTTTGAGCAGCATAATCATATTGTTTAAGTTTCTTTGACTTCTTAAATTCTGTGAGCAGCTTTGAAGCTCAGTTTAAAATTATGCTTACAATTTATACTTCATATGAAAGTCTCAATCTGATAAAGCTATTTAAGGATTTTAAGGCAGTTGGTTTTTTTTTTAATCATTTCACCACAAGCAAGGCAATAAAGCTACTAAGACACGGGGGGGGGTTACTGAATATGGAAGAATAAGAAAAGGAAAAACATTATTAAGAAGTGAGAACAATAAAAGAAGTGGAATCCAGAAGTCATGATGTAACAATTGACATTACATTTAAATTTTTGAAGATCAAAGTTGGCTGAAAAGCAAGAAACTGGATGAGAGTTCCACAAGTGAGAACTGCAAGAAAATAAACTGTTAACAAAGGACTTACAGTCACATCTCGCCAATTCAACTGTAAACAGATGAGACCTTGCTTGAAATAAAGCCCAGAATTGGATGGCCATCAGTTCTCAATTATGATGTTTTAAACTGCATAATAAAGTTTAATAAACATGATGAACATCCATTAGAATTTTCAGATTCACTTAAAGATATATGTATTTTGAAATAAAAATACAAGAATGAACCAAACACTGACGCACATGGTCATCATCAACTGTTTAATCATCCTGCTATGCTACCAATGTAAATTTAAATTAAAACAATTTGGACATGTGATAAAAAAAAAGAATTCTTTATTTGGACTACCTTGTTTTCCACATGTGTGCACTATATAAAAATGACCATTCAATCCCTTTTGGTTAAAGCCGACCCTTCCGATGTTGAAGGGTAACCAAGAGGAGCAACTCATGAAGATTAATAGGCATGATGACTTTCACCAGTATAGTTGTTCTATTTTTAATAAGATTTTATCAACTTTATTAGCATCATCATATTTTTAGTTCAACCAATTCAGACCTTCACAGCTAAGTCCCACAATGCTACATACACAAGGTTGACTATTCCACATTCCATTCATATGCCATTGATAAAAAGAAAGTCCTAGTCAGACAGAATCTTCTTCAGAAGAATATAAAAATCAGACAGTTTCTTCTCCATAGTATTAAAAAAATTATTTTATGGAAAAAAAAACTCCTTAGTGGATGCTTTCCCAATCATTACGAGCTTAAACTCGTTATGTCTAGGATCAACAGTTATCTATCCTATATAAACTCATAATATTCACTTTTTACTTCTCTCTCTTTACACAGTTACAACAGTCTCATTCAGAAACTGTCTACCTTGAGTGGCTCTTCGGCCATTTAGTATAAAAAAAGAGAAAAAATAACCAACTTCAGTTCAAGCCCATTAGCATTTAAAGCACTGATAAATCTTTCATTGTCCCTTGTTTACATGGTCTTTTAGAAACACAGTAATAATAAGAGGATGGCCATAACAACTATAATGATGACACTATCAGATAATGTTGATAAAATCAATACCTTTGCTTTTCCCACCACCACAACCATTATGAGCATAATGTTAAGTTTTGCAAAATAGTATTAATCTCATCATTACCCACTTTCAAGAGGGTCTCATGACTATCATTACAATCATTATCATAATCACCATCACACATAAATAAACAAGTATTGTAATTGCTTTTATCATTATTGTCTGTATTGTCTACCCCCAAAAAGAACATTGTGACTATTGATTTGGGATCACCACTATCATTATCAACAACTACATTACTACCTGATTCTTGCATTATGATCTTCTTTCAAACTCTAACAAACTAAATCTTTTTACCTTCCTCACAACAACAGCACCATATATATTCCATATATATATATATATATATATATATATATATATATATATATATATATATATTTATTTATTTATTTATTTATTATGCAGTGTTACATTAGAACATGCACATACCCACTACTTACTCTTCATTCTTTTACATTTGAATATATATATATATATATATATATATATATATATATATATATAACAAAAAAAACAAACATCTATAAATAAAAACAATTATAATTTAAGAACCTGCATCATCAAATGTATAAAAAAAATAAAAATAAAAACAAAATAAATAAATAAATAAAACACACACACACATCACACCTTGTCTACGTCACAACACTCTTTGCCCATGTAACTTCACTACACTCAGCAGTTCTTCAAAATTCACTAATTGTGACTGCATACACTGATGATAATTTAAGTCAAAAGTTTGGACCATATTTCTGATGGAATTTCCTCCATATTTGAGAAGGATTATTTGTAATTTTGAAAAGTTGATCAATAAAATTAATCAACACAAAACATCTGTTATCTTGTAATAACATATGCCTTAAAAATATCTATATTTATATATGAATGAAGACAAAAGAAAACTTAAATTTTCCTTTTGTCTTTATTCATATTGTTCTTTTACAGATATATTCTACCTGAAAAATGTTACACACACACATATATCGCTTAATTAGGACCCATTTAAACATGCACGGAAACATAACAAATTCCATCTGCAGTATACTTGTAGAAAATACAACCATAAAAAACTCATCTACATGAAAAAAAATGATAGAAATAATGGAAGCATTAACAATGAATAAAAAAGCCGACACTCAATAATTTAAACTATGTACTTGGCCACAACTTGCTTGTAGTGTTTGGGAAAAAAAACCTTCCCATTACTATAGATACACATATATAAAAATCTACATGTTCAGTTAAAAATTAAAAAAATCCTTGATAATGGCTAATAGAATTGCTGAAAGCACTCAGATATATAGAACATTTGGACAGTTTTTACACAATTTATGTTCAGAAAAGAAAACACAATGTACAAATGCAAGAAAAATTGAATAAAGTGTTTAATCTCAGTACCTTGTCAGTCATCTTCAATGAAACTTGTATAAAAGAGAGATTGCTGCCAAATAATATATATATATATATATATATATATATAACACCATCAAATCTGTTATATATATATATATATATATATATATATAAAAAAGGATCACTGTCCAAATACAATTATATATATATATATATATATATATATATATATATATATATATATATATATATATTATATATATATATATATATATATAATTATTTATTTAAAAATATGATTAAATATTTGAATAAATAATTATATTTAGGCTCTACTTTTGTATCGAGCACTGTTTTTTAAAAATAATAACAAAAATACTAAAGAATTTTGGATTATTTACCTCATGAGTTCTTTCCTATTTTCTATATATTTTCACACATATATATATATATATATATATATATATATATATATATATATATATATGTAAAACAGATTTGATGGTGTTATTATCATGAAGGTAAACTATATTGAATATTATATATATATATACGCAGACTGTATGAATTTGAGCACAATACTCGACTGACAGAGAAATCGCATCAATTCACAGTTGTCCTAGCTAGATTTAGCCATAACTTCTACACTAATAGTTTCTTTTCTCACTTGTGAAACTCCCTCCTGGCTCCATGCTTTCCAGCCAACTATAATCTACAAGAATTTAAATGCAATACCAACCACTATCTACTGTCCTCCTGAATGCTCTTTTCTCTTTCTACTCATTATTAATGTTTCTGTTCCTAATTCCTCCACACCCTGTAACCCCTTGCATGTTAGTGACTGTGCTGCCTTGCCTGAGGTGACATGGATTAAAGAAAAAATGTGTGTGTCCTTTATAAATAACATCACAAAATGAATCCATAATTCCATCAAATGAAATGTGCTTCCAAAGAAATTTTGTGAAAATTAAAATATAATCTATCTATCTATCTATAAGAGTTGATAGGTTAGCTTATCATTTGGGTGACATGCCTTCTTGGTCTTTTGAATAAGAGTAGAGGTTTATTCTTTGTTTTCTGTTTAGGATTGGGTTTACAGTTCCTTCTAAAATCTTCTCATTCTCTTTCACTCATGGTAGCCTCTTGCTTCTTAGTGACATTACTGCCTTGCTTGGAGTGAATTGATTAAAAAAATGATCTCACTTGGTATTTTTCAATTTATTTAACTATTTAGCTACAAATATATATTGTTTTTTTTTTGTTTTTTTTTTTTTGCAATAATGTTCCCTTATAAATATATATATATAGAAAGAGATAGATAGATAGATAGATAGATAGGTAATAAAAATACATATTCCTTATCTCTGTGTCTATCTATCTATCTATCTATCTATCTATCTATCTATCTCTCTCCTCGATATATATATATATATATATATATATATATATATATATATATATATATATATATATAGATAGATAGATAGATAGATAGATACACATGCTTTCCTGATCAATTTGTTCAAGTCTAGGTTTAACCATTATCTTCCTCAACATATCCGCATAAACTGTGCTTCATAATTTGTAATCCTCTAGCTTGAATGGCTCCCTGGACATGTACTGACATGTAGCTAGATAAATAAATTGGAAAATACTACAATTGAGATAGATAGATAAATAAATAAATAAATAGATAATGAACATACTGATAGATAGATAGATAGATAGATAGATAGATAGATAGATAGATAGATAGAAACAGGTTGCAATAGATAGATAATGAACATACTGATAGATAGATATATAAATAGATATAAACATTGCAATAGATAGATATGAACAAACTGATAGGTAGATAGATAATGAACATACTGATAGATAGATAGATAGATAGATAGATAGATAGATAAATAAATAGATAGATATGAAAAATTGCAATAAATAGATATGAACAAACTGAGATAGATGAGAGATAATAAATATACTGATAGATAATGAACATACTGAGAAATAGATAGAAAGATAGATATGAACAGGTTATGATAGATAGATAGATAGATATTAAATTTATAATGAAAACAAATTTGCACAGATAAATTGATGAAGATATATAAATAGGTAGATATGAACAGGCAGTGACAAATAATGAATATGTATTTCTACTGATATACAAGACATATAAATGAGAACAACTTGATAAAGATAAGTTGACAATTCTAAGTACTGTAATTAATACATTTTCTGAGAAAGTAATCCAGTATCATACTCATAGCTATCATCCTCATTATTGTCAACCTATTGCTTAAATCAGATATCACTCTTTCTTAAAGATGCATCATCATCATCATCATCATCATCATCATCACAATAATCTATTTCTGGTTTTCCCATCATCATCATAAATAGCATCAGCTCTTCTAGAAGCAACAACAACTATAGCAAACACAACAGCAGCTATTACAGCAATGGTGGTAGCACCAGCCACTGTCACAACAATGGTCAGCTTTCCGCATGTTGTTTTCCTCTCATCCCCACTTCCATCTTCTATCCAACCAATCAAATGATGACGTTGTTGTCATCATCATCATCATCATCATCATCATCATCATCATCATCACCACAGCTCTACCAGCCCACGCATCAACCTTGGCAACACAAGCAACAGCTAGAGAGAGGCAGTACCACTTTGAGATGCAGTCTATTCATAGTGTTTGTGTTAACGGTGCCAAGCACTGTCTATCCTTCTTCAGTTCTCTGGTGGCACTGATAGATCTGCATACCAATGCATATTACATGTGTGTGTGTGTGTGTGTGTTGCGCGCAAATGCTTGTGCATGGACATGTTTTGTGTGTGTGTGCAGATAACAAGTACCTAATGCACTGAAGCTTTTCTATAAGCAAGTTATTAAAACAAAAATTGACATAATCACAATCAAACAGGTAACAGTTCATATATTCTTCTGAGAAATTCATAAACTGTCAGCTGTGAAGCATGCGATGAATAAATTGTCATCTGAAAAAAATGAAAATAATATTAACATCTCATTTTAACAGATATATTTACTAAAATTACACAAAAATATTTTAAAACACTAAAGAGTAAGTTTATTCAATAATATCATCATTGGCTTTCACAATGGCCTACAAAAAACTTGGGAATCTCCTGCAACTCTTCTGGATGGTCTCTATGTTTAAGTTGGTGAATGCTGCCTTAATACTTGACTTCAGTTCATCTTTGGTGTTAAAAGGAGTTTTCTTGGTTTCTCACTCAACTGCACCTCACACATTTCAAGGGGGTACAATCTGAGGAGTATGTGGACAAATGTAAGGGGTGATGTGGTTGCAAAAATTGTCTGACAACCATGACTGGGTTCTCCTGCTTGTGTGGCAAAGTGCAGAGTCCTGTTATCAGACATAGGGTCTTCCAGCAGCCACCCTCTTGACCCAGGGCAACACTACTTCCTCAAGGCACTTGATGTAGGCCTCTGTTGAGCCTGAGACCCTAGGGAAAGATGAATGGAGACATAACATCACCATAACTAGTGATCACTCCAAATCACACCAAACACCTTTGTAATCACCATTAGACTCATCCAACTCCTTCCAAATCCTCTGCACTGTTGTCAGATTGATATACAAACACACTGAAATGTTTGTATTAGAGCTTCTGGTGCAAATGCCATTTTCAAATTTCTGGCAGGATGAAATGCATCATGTTGCTCTTTTTCTCACAGATGGTGCCCAACTGACTCTACTATACTGTGCAGTTGACAAAATCAAAAACAAACAATGTGCATACTTGAAATTAAAAATATAAAGTAGCAACAATTTACTCATCGCACTCTGTATACAACCATTTTCTCAAAACAATTATTAAAAATTATTTTAATCAAATGAATTCTGTAGGTCCTAAAAAGACAACCAATCACCAGATTTTTAGACTGGTGCTACAGAATCACAAAGAACCCTACGAAATAACAAAAAAACATATCACTTGAAAACTTCCAATAGCAGCAACAATTAAAATGGATAGCACATGTAGATGGAAGGGAAATTAATGATAAAATCAAGATGTTGACTTTTCACAAAAGGTTAGGAAGAAAATACTCATCAATATTAGAAAGAATAATAACAGTGGACTTGTAAATAATAGGTGAGATGAATGTCATATATCAATCTTCCAAGTGAGTTGAAACCAGCATTCGAAATTATTACTCTTAGATTGAACATTGACTGCTAACAGTGTTTGAAAATGCAACTCCTTTGGCCACAAGTCAGATTCAAAGACATTAAATTATTTATTTAACTTTTTTCTTCAATGATCACATTCATTTTCAAATTAAGTTTTTCACATTCAACCCTGACTTCTACTAATAAAATCAGCAATGCATTGAGATAGTACATAGTTTCCAAGCATGGACATTATTTGCTTTGGAAATTAAAAGTTGTATAAAAGAGGATCACATTGTTAAGAACTTTAAATGAAGACAGAATGTTTGGTTGCCAGAAAAAGAACATCTCAACCAGTGAATTACAAACTGGAAATATCAAAAATTTAAATATCTTGGAAGTGTTTTAACAGAGAATGAAAATGCATCATTGAAATCTGAAGACACATTGGTATAGTGAAAGGTGTTTTCCAAAAGCTTAGCAAAGTATTAACAAACAGGAAAATTTCATTAGAAACAACATAAAGAGTACTGAATTATTATGTAATATTGGTCCTCCTATATGGCAGGCTGGAGGCATGGTAGAGTAATGGATAGTGGTTCAGATTGAGGAATTGAAGAGTCGAGTTTGAATTCCAGTCAAATCCATTACATTCACTTAGGTGCTAATACCCTTGAGAAAGGTATGAATCCTCTTCTTCTCCCCCCAGCTATGGGTAAACAGCAGGACAGACAGGGTTCTATAGCCTTGGATGGCAACTGGTCTACCATAGAAAGAAATGGCAACATACTGCGGGAAAAAAATCTGCCTTGTAAGCCATGTATCAAAAGTTTTGCATATTTCTCTGCATAGTAGTAGTCATAGTACAGTTCTCCGTGTCCTGCATAGCCCCCATGTTCACCAGTTGTTCTCTGTTTATACTTGTCTAACTAATTTACAAAAGATACTAAATAACCAAAAATCATATATGCAGAAAACTGCATTAAACATGTTCACCAATATAAAATTAAAACTGCATTATCACTTGTGACAGAAAATGGATTTAATAAAATAACTAAAGTTTTTCAGTGTTTGGATATGGAAGAGAAGCAAAAACATAAAATGAAAGCAGTCTATAATCCATGAAGAGTCAAGATGAGTATTTGATACACCATAGCTTCCTTTAAAATGGTCAAATTAGTATTCTTTAATTCATAAACTAGTCATATATTCATAACTAAAAAGCACCCACTTTGGTGAATATAAAGTGTATCAGATTGTTGTATGATAACACACATCATGTTACAAACACAACTTTATTAAAGTTGAATCAGTTGAAAATGGAAACTTTAATGCAAACTGCCTATTCACTCAATGTCCCTTCAATAAATTATCATTTCTTACAAGCAGCTAGTGAAGGTGAAGGTAGAATAAAAAAAACAAAGAGAAAGGAGAATAAAAAAATAGTTTTTGTCATTCTGTTTAGAAACTGCAAGTTCATTTTTATCTTGCAATACTGTAGCCTGATCCTATTCATAGGGGATAACTTTCAAGCCAATCTACTCCAGCAAATTCCTGAAATCACACATTGAATCAAACTGTATATATACTATTTTTTCTTATAGAGTCTCGAGCAAATGTTTTAAGAATATAATGTCAAATGTGTTAACAATTATATAACTTAAAATTGTAATTTGAGATTTAAACGAAAATTTAAATATATATAAATGACAAATCAAAGAACATATTCATCTATAAATTTTCAAAATATTTTGAAAGCATAGATAATAGAGATTTGAACAAGAACTATGAAAAATTTAAGAAGCAAATCTTTTAGGCCATTTAAATATACTTTAGTAAAAAGAGAATTTGAATTAGTTTATTATCATTAATTCTTTTTCTTTTTATTCTTCTATGTGGAGTGTCATTTCTGGATGTTGGCAAAAATTGGCTCTCCACAATTTCCTGTCCTTTGTAGTACTTAATAAATTTTACTTTTTGCTATCTCTTCTAAACCTGTTCCATGATTCATTTACTCAAGCTTGCTAAGCAGATTATATATTGTTTTCTTCTGTCCCTCTTGTCTTCAATTCATCCTGTAAGAATTAAATTTCCCAAGCCCTCATTCCTCATTCTGTACCCGAGAAACTTCAATTGTCTCTTCCTAATATTAAGTATAAGTATCCTTTTTGCTTCCTTTTTCTCTAAAACCTTCTTATTGCTCCCATGTTTGGTCCGTAGTACTCTCACAAATATAGTCATATTTTATTTAATTTATATATTCTGTTGCTAAATGTCATGTGTTTCACTTGAAAAACATTAAAAAGTTGCTGCCCTATGAGGGAATGAAATGCTGTCCAGGGAGAGACTGATATGGAAGGAAAAGGTGATAATCTATACCTGTAGAATTCAAGACAATAGATAGAAAGTAAAACTGGTAGATAAGATCATTGTAAGAATATACACATATTTTGGGCACTGACAACCTCCTCAGTAGAGCTAGCATAGGGATAAATACCATCTGGGAGCCTCTTATTGAGAAAGACAGGACATTCAAAAAGTATTCTATTACCTGAGTCAGGAGATTCATACAGTTGCACCACCTAAATGCATATATTAGGTTTAAGACACCATAATTTCATGACTATGGCCTTATTGGTTTAAAGCATTGGTTAAAAACATATCTATTTCCCTGGCAATTGTAAGTTCAAAATGGAATACAAAAGGAATGAAGATGATTCATTCTTGTGTACGTGACATTGTGGATTCCAACTCAGGACTGGTGGCACCACGGAACGTAGCTCATGAGAACACTTGCCATTGAAATAGCGATAGAGTAGCAAGTAACATGCAACATTTCATCAGTGAGAAAGGGGTATTATGATTCTGTTATGATCCAGAATGATGATGATATTTCATCATTCTAAAAATAACCTTGCCATCAGTGATGATAAAAAATAAGGATATTTCATCATCCCTGAAATAAAGATAAAAAATTTCATCATCCTAAAAATAACCTTGCCACCAGTGATCAATGATGAGAAAGATATTTCATCATTCTAAAATCTGATTATAGAAATAACCCTTCATCACAAGTGATGGCAGTAAGTAGTGTAGGGTCAGTAGAGTAAAGTGAGCAGTAGCAGTAGTAAAAAGCCTAACACATACGTATCTTCATCCCGCTGTGAAAATTGAAAACTGACAATCTCAAACGTTATCCTAACCAATGAAATTCTTGGAACAAGCAAAAACAAGTAGGCACAAACTTTTAAAGAAACAAAAGAGACAGTAACATTGAGAACATATTTAACACACACCATACCAATATCTGTAATTAACATCATGAAAAAGAAAAATATATATTCTTGTTATTGATGTTAATACATGTCTCAAGGCTTATTGTTTATGCTATTGTACATTTTTATTCACTTCATTTTCAGTATAAATAAAAGAAAAGGATTCCTCTATCAATTGCAAATACATAGAACAATAGGGTAACTTACCATAACAACACAAACTACACATCAACACTATTACAGAGGTTCTAGGCTGGAAAATAATTAATCACAAACAAAGCCACATAGACACCTTTGAATATAGAGACATGAAAGTGTTCACTGATATGACAACAATATACCATTTTTGATCTGGTTATTGTAAAGATAGAATACTATAGGAGGAATCGGATACTGGATTCGTATAAGGAACTAACCATTTTCCAACATCTTTCGCAATAGATCATATATATGAGTTCCATTTCAGTTCTGGGGTGAGCTTGTATCCCAGTAGGCATTCAAAGCAAGGAACACCCTTCAGAGAGCACACATCTATCATGATAGATGAAAGTTCAGGGACTGCTCAGTGATGGTGGGATATTGCTAGTTTGGTTTTGGATGTATTGAATTTTACAAGCCAGTTCATCCCCTATTGAGCCAGGTCAAAAGAGAGATCAACTGCCAGGTTCAGGTCATCCAGAGTTTTGGAGGCTCACCTATAAACTGTTATACCATCCACATAGATATTCACTAAAGATCAGAATATGTTCTTAGACTGATCATTGATATAGAGCAGAAAGAGGGTAGCACTGAGTAGAGAACCTTAGAGAATGCAACATTAATCTCATGGGCTTCCAATGACTGGCTGTTAACAATGACTTTCATGGAACTATCTCTTAGGAAAGACTTGATAACTCAGAAAGCTCTTCTAGAGATTCCATAGCTGGAGAGTTTATGTAGAAATCCCTGATACTACACATTATCAAAGGTTTTTGATATATTTAAGGTGAGTGTCCTCATGATGAATTTATTGTCTTGTGCTTAATTGATTCTGTGAGTAATGACAGTTAAGACATCAGGTGCTGACCTTGCAGAGTGAAATCCATACAGGCTATTGCCCAGGAGGTTGTTGATTATAGATCTGAAGTGTTTGCAGATGAACTAAGGAGGCTAATGCGTTTATATTGTGACAGGGATGAGCACTCACCCGCAATCTTAAAAACTGGGTACACAGTTGAGACCTTCCTAAGACATTGGAAGCATCTTGCCTTCAGGTAGTGGTTAAAGTTTTGCTAAGGTTGGAGATAATTTAGGGCTGATATTCTTAAGAACAATCATTGGGATCTTATCCAAACTGGTAACCTTCTTAGATAGATAGATAGATAGATAGATAGATAGATAGATAGATAGATAGATAGATAGAAACAAAGAGAAAATGTAATAGAGATAGACTGATAGATTGTTCAATAGATATCGATAGAGATCTGCAAAAAATGAAATACACTAATCTGTACATATCTTTGTAGCTAGTTAGACAGAGATAAGTAAGCCACAGATAAACAGTTATGATTAACAATGAACTAGAATAAAAGCTTTTAACTTTCAGAGATCATTTTTGCTTGTCATAAAACATGTTTATACAGCTCTCAGTTTTTAGTTTGTTAAAACATAAGAAATCATAATGCTCATATTTCTATCATGAAAATCTTTCAGCGAGTTCTTTCTAAAGATTGCTTTTCTATGAAACACAACAAAAGGATTTAGTAAATAATGTAAACAATTAATGAAAAAATGACTTTAGCGAATGTTATAAAAGACACTTTTAAGACGAACAGGTGAGGAGTTATCTCCCTTGGAATTCATTCACTACTCATCAAGATCTGAAAGAAAAAATTATTTCATAGAGGTTTGGCTTTCTCTTTATCAGATCACATTTTCTTTTTCAATAAAATTTGAAATTGTTTCATTAGATCATGCCAACTTCACAATATTTTTTTGAAAAGAAAGAATAGAATATAAACTTGGAAAGCCAATACATTAATGAACTTTACTGATCTCTACAAATATCAAAGAAAATTTAATGCACAGTATTTTTTTCATTTTCATAAAATAGGTAGATCATGGTTTTATATTTAAATAAACTGTCATTAATTAATTGCCAATGGGTACTTCTATAATAATGTTACAGTACAAGATATAATAATAATGATAATAATAATAATGATAATAATAATAATGATAATAATGATAATGATAATAAAGAAGAAGAAGAAGAAGAAGAATTATTATTATTATTATTATCATCATCATCATCATCATCACCACTCTGGGTCTTTGAGACACAGACCAACCACGTCATCCAATCAAAAACACTGGATCTGTCTGTTTTTAAGAAGGAAAAAAAATTCTGTTAGATCTTAGATATTGTTTTCCAAGAGACAACAGGGTGAAGATGAAATAAAGTTAAAAAATAATGGAGAAATACTAGGACTTCACCTAAAATCTAATGAAGCTGTAGTTATTACTATGGTTGTACCCATAGTAACCAGAGCACTTGTAACTATCTAAAATTGAGATCAGATGAATTATATATCTGAAAAAGTATTGTGAATGTTCAGGTCAAGGAAGTACTGAGGGTGGGAGCAGTCTGTGAAGATACTGAGGAAGCTTCTGAAGATTTTACTATTACTTAGTCTCCACCAATATTCACCAGACATTTGGTGTGACTATAATTAACAACAACAAAAATAATAATAATATAAAGAATATATACAAATAAAAGTCAGTGTCTGTTACTTTATAATGCACAAAACATATCACACCATGCTTAACAGAAAAGAAGTTGGTAAACAAAGGAGTGCTCTGATAGAGAAATTAAAAAGCAATATGAAGTAAATAATTAAATATTTCAAGAAAGTGAATATCAGCACAAAAACATAGTTTTGGAGAAATTGAGGTTGTCAGTTTGTGTTTCATTCAACTTTTTGCCAAAATGTTCTGCCAATGATAAACTGTTATTTCAATACTTTCATGAAAATGCTAAAAAATCTTTATACCATGATGAAAACACACTCCAAACATAATGAAAACAGTTTTATCATCAAAATTGTTATGTTATTATTAAGAGGAAGGATCAAAGTGTTTTTTTATTATTTAATTAAATTTTTTACTCCTTTTCAGAACATTCAAAATTTTGATTAAAAAACTTGTTTTTCTTGTGGTAGCAGTTGCATTAACTTTTAGCATAGGAAATTTTAGCCTCTTTTTTGTGGTGACACACATTAATTTGGAAATTCTTGTAAAAATTAAATAATTGTCAGATTTTAATGAAATTTTCAGGACTTATTCACAAATGAATGAAATTATTTGAATTTTTTTTATTAGAGAATCTTGATAAAAATATTTTTTTTTACATCTGTTTCAGCCACTTACTTCACTTTATGAAAATTTGAAAAATTCAGAGATAATTTTTAGTGACTATATTAGTTAAAAGCAAAATTATTTGAAGAATTTATATCACCAAAATTTTTGCAAAATCAGAACCTGTCTTACCAAAAATCTGTTCTGAATTGAAAAATAAAAATGCAACAAAACTAAGACATTATTTCATTAGAAAAACTTTTAATTGCTTTTATAAATAATATATATTAAAGACAATATTGTCTGAAGAAAAAAAAATCAATAAAAAATGAATTTTTACATGATTGGTTTTCATTTTTTTTACAATTTTAAATTGAATAATTTATAAAGTTTTTAAATCTTTTAAAATTCATTTTCAGTGAGATAATTCTTAGAAAATATTGTTAAGTAAAACTATATTTACTAATCATATATTGTAAAGCTTATTACAATCTGAAGACTCCAAATATTTTTTAAAAGAATTTCAATTTGTTTTTGTATGTGTGATTATGTGCAGAATTTCTGAAGTATGGGTGTACAAACTGATAAACCTCTCATTAAAAGGTTATGTACGCTATTTACATTATTTGTACTATTGTCCTCATCTTTGTCGCCATATTTATTATAACGTTTCGGCCATTGTATGCTCCAGCCTTCTTCAGATGGTTGGAATGTTGAATTGAACCCTTTATTTCACTCACTGAGGTAGACTGTTCTAGTTCCATGTGCCATGTTTAATGAATGTCAGTTATCAGTTATCTCCTGTTAATTCTCCTCTCCAAGTTCTCCACAGCCTTAACTGGGTATTGAACTCACACTTTTTGGGTCCTGTCACTGGATCTAACTAACGCCTTTATCCACTGTACCATGTGTCCTTGAGGACATTCCAACCACCTGAAGAAGGCCGGAGTGTACAACGGCCAAAACATTGTAATAAATATGACAACAAAGATGAGGACAATATTCCGAATAGTGTAAATAGTGTACATAATACCTCATCTCAGAAATATAGACAGATACAAAAGGTTACATGTTTTAAGGGGTGTCCCCACCCCATAAAATTTATCATCTGCTCCACCATACTTAACTACGAACATATTCAGCCGTCGATCTACTGTCAATAAATCGATTAACATGTCAGAAAAACAAAACCTTGTAGTTAAGAAATGTTTGTATACAACATTTTATGCTATAAATAAGTAATATTTGTTTCAACTCAGATTAATTTAACCTTGAATCAGATTAATTTAACTTTAAATTTGCTAATTTTCTTCAAATAGTGTTTCAGAAATATATATTTTATTTTTGCAAGATTTTTAAAACTAAAAATAAATTTTTGTTTACAAATGTGTCAAAAATGGCCATTTTGATCAATTTTATTAAAAAAAAATCAATTCCAATCGATATAATTTCTGTTTGAAATAAACCACAGAGTATTTTGCTTACTGGAAATAGTAAATTTTAAATACTTTAGCTTTCAATTAAATCTAAAATAAAAGTTTCAAGAAAGTGTTTTCATTTTTAAAAATCCATTTTAAACCTTACATATACCAAATTAGTGGAGGTATCTACTGTTATTGCAAGGGCAAATCTTTGTTACAGTATCAGATTTCTCTCAATATGAAAAATACAGAAATATCAGGACTTCACCCAGGATCTAATGAAGCTGAAGAACATGAAAGTGGTAACACCAATAATAACTGGTGCACTTAGAAACATCAAAAACACTAGCATTGAGATTATATAGGGAAAGGTTGTGAAAGTCCAGGTAAAAAAGTACTGAATAATCTGTGAAAAACTGAGGAAGGTGCTGGAGATTTACAATATTCACCAGACATTTGGTGTGCCTATAATTAACAACAACAATAACAATAATAATGGCAGTAGCTGAAATAAAAGAATCTGTACAAATAAAAGCCAGTGTCTGTTACATAATAATGCACAAAACATGTCACGCCATGCTTAACCGAAAAGAAATTGGTAAACAGAGGATTGATGCAGATAGGAAAAATAAAAAGCAATATAAAGTAAATAATTAAATATTTCAAGAATGTAAATATCAGCACAGCAACATAGCAGTGGAGAAATGGAGATTCAGTTTTGTGATTCATTCAACATATTACGAGAATATTCCGCTGTTGGTAAATTTAATAACTGTTATCACAAGGGAAAAGCTTTGTCACAACATCAGATTTCACTTAACATTTGCAGAATTAATGAATGAATATATACACCATGGAAACTTCAAAGACAACATTGTATATAATTCATCCCTTGCCTTTGCATCCATGTGTGTACAGATTGTTGACCCAGTTAGACAAGGTTTCTACTTTATCAGTGTGGAGTCAAATCTGTCACATTAAAACATAAGCAACAGTTTTGTTAATGAATACAATATTTATTAATAAAACTTAGCTTATTTATGCTTGGGTTAATGTCCTGATCTTTGTTTTTATTATCACAATGCTAATTTTTACTGCAACATTGTGATAATAACTTAAAGGTCCAAGCTACAAGACAATGGTCTAGTGGATAAAAGCATTTGTTTGTGAATTTGGTGACCTAGTGGTTGTTCAATCAGGCAGTGTGTAATTGCACTCAGAGGAAACAGGTGAGCAATAATAAAAATAAGGACTACATGATGGGGAATGAGAACAATTTACCCCCATAGATTAAGTAAGGGTTCTGTTTAGGTCAATATACACCTAGGGAACAATGACCAAAACATTGTGATAACAACAACATAGATGGGGACATTAGTCCAAATGTAAATAATAATAATAATTCCTCATCCTAGAAATTCAGACAAATTTTAGCTTAGGTCACAAATAAAATATATATAAAATAAATATCAAAAGTGAAATTTTGCATAATTTTCTATATAATAATGTTAGTGGCACTGGGTCTTATTCAATCAGAAAATTCCTAGCATATTTGAAACCTCAAGTGAGAAAAAATTTTCAATCGAGGCAAAGTGTCAGGTTCAACTATGATAAATGGTCCACAGGTTATTTCACCTCCATATGACAAGGCAAGGCTCTTTGTAATGAACTTTTCCTCTAATTCTACATTAGATGATAAAGACCACCCCTTACCTGACTTCCCTCTTCTCACAGTGCACAAACTTTGTAATATATCTATCACTGCACAGGAAGTTTTATCAAAAACCTTGACCCTAAGAAGGCTACTGGTTTGGACAAAATCTCAGTGGTTGAGAACATCAGAGTTATTTCCAATCTTGGCCAAACTGTTTAACTGCTGTCTGAGGAGAGATGCTTCTCACATCTCTGGAAGATGTCAAGTGTGTACTCTGTTTTTAAGAATGCTCCCACAATATCGACCCACTAGCCTCCTTAGTATAATCAGCAAACTCATTGGATCTATAAAAAACAATAAGATTGTTGAACACCTCAGCAGAAAGAACCTCCTGAACATAGATGTGAGAAGCATCTCTCCTAAGCAATAACTAATATGGATTTTGTTTTTCTAGGTTCACAACTGATGTTTTAACTGTTATTAGTTGCAGAATCAGTGAGGCAATATACGATAAATTCACTACAAGTAATACTGACTTAGATATATCAATGTTCTTTATAAAGTGTGGCTTTGGGGGTTGCTACATAACCTCTTCAGCTATGGAATTTCTGGAAGGGCTTTCTGAATTATCAAGTCTTTCCTAACAGGTAGGTTCATGAAGATCAGTGTTAAGAGTCAGGATTATATTAAATATATTGTCCTAGTCTGTCATGCCTAATAATGTATTCTTTTTCAGGAAGGACTAGGTACACTGATATTGTGTGGTCAACAGTTTGATCAAATTCATGGTATAAGAGACAGGTGGGTTCTGAGTCCTGTATGCTGATTTTAGCCTTATAGATATTAGTTGGAAGACATTAGTCTTGCACTGCCATAATAAGATCTTCAGCCTTCCCCTTAAGACTACTTCTTCTAAGCCATTGATGGGTTAGGTGAGCATGTATGTCTGGTTCATCCTGTTCTGAGAAGGGGGAGAGTGTTAAAGGAAAAAGAGAGATACCTAACAGAGTGCAATAATGAAAGTTGAAAGTACAAGGAAGAATCATCTGAGGACTCAAATGGCAATTGCCTTGTGTTATGGTCCAAGTTCTTTGTATCACGGTGATGGTCCAAGGTTAGAACCAATGAAAGAATAACACGAACACAGGTATGGAATACAAAGATATATTACAACAGAAATATAATATAAAGAAGTAGAAGTATTAGTAATGACTATCAGATTTGGTTAGAGTGAACTATGTTGTCTCAAAAAGTATCACTATTCCAATGTCCTTACAATATGCTCTCAATTATCTCTCTTCGTCTTACAACATCCTCCCACCTCTTGAGAGGTGCAGTATTATAATGTCAGGAATAGTCCATTATTATCTTGGGTAAGTTCCCATAACACCTTGCAATTGTAAAATTTTCCCCAATATAAACACCAAGGTCATACATATGTATCCTTGAATCTTTTCAACAATATTGAAGATAGTCAAGAACAGAGAGCTTATTGATAGTGATAGAAAAAATGAAATAAGTATTACAAAGTGTGAAGATATCAGGAGAATGTTTCAAGAGAAAAGATTCTATACTAGAGGAATTGGAATGGATTCCATAAACACTGGAGAAAGAAAGGTTAAGGTAGGGGATAGGTAATTTTTTCAATTTCTCTGTTGCTCAGTCTCTTAGTCAAATAGTAAATTTCTCAACTAAATTTGATCAACATGCTTCTTTACTTGATTTCTTTCTTACCTCCACTCTTTACTCTTGTAGAGCAATACAACTTTGTCCTCTTGGCAATTCTGATAATGCAGTAGTATCTGTTGATATTACTTTTGATTTGTCTATTAGAAAGGAACTTCCTATTCAGATTTCCTTCTGTAACTACCATACCAACTGGGATTTGCTGCATGACTTTCTTTAAGACACCCCTTGTATTGATATTTTTAACATTTGTATCAAGAATTGTGCCACTGAAGTTTCTTTTTGGGTTAAAGATGGCATAGATGATTTGTAACTTCTCAGAAATATCAGGTTAAACCACAATCTTCTTGGTTCACAATAGCCTGCTCAGCCGCAATAGCACACAGGAATCATTTTTTTTGAGTGTAACAGTGTGATAGTTCTGATCGCAACAGATGCCTATTTGTGTATGTTTGTAATAATTGTAAACATGTCCTGAAAGAGGCTAAATCTTTGTTTCCTGGTAGAATAAGGCAGTATATAGTCTCTAACAAGTTTAGTTATTGTGACTACTGGTGGCTCTGTAATAGTGTGTTAAATAAGAGTAAGTCTACTATCCCTCCTGTCTTCACTTAATTTCAGGTGTTAACATCTTCCATTGATAAAACAGAATATTTTGCTTATAAATTCTTTTCAAATTCTCTTCTTAACTCAACTGGAGTATCTTTGCCTGACTTTCACTTAGAACCGAGTCTCTATTGAGTGATATGTACCTAAGGTTTCTGCTATCAACTCAAAACTGGATCCCCACAAAGCATGTGGACATCATGGTATCCTTGCAATAGTCCTTAAGAAATGAGCTCTTCTCTTTAAATTTTACAATAAATACCTTGCTACTTCTTGCTTTCCTGCTTGTTGGAAATCCTCTTTTTTAAAAATTCAGGCAAACCATCTGATCCTTCTAACTATTGGCCTATTAGGCTGCTACCTTTTTTTTACAAAGTATGAAAGGCTCTAATCAACTCTGAATTGGTTAAGTATCTCACTTTGCAGAGTCTTTCTTTCAAATAAACAATATGGCTTTCACTTGTCTAGGTTGACTGGTGATATATTAATGATTATTGCCAAAAGGTCTATTATAATTTAGCTAAGAATGGTGAAGCTCAAGCTATTACTTTGGATATCTCAAAGGCATTTGACAGGGTTTGGCATTCTTCACAAGCTGAAATGTTATGATATTTCTGGATTAATTTTTGAACTGTTACAGTCTTTCTTATCAAATCATAAAATGAAAGTTGTATTGAATGGACATTCCTCGAGATCTTTTTGCATTAATGCAGGTGTATACTTGGACCTACATTGTTCCTAATTTTCATCAATGATCTTTCTGATGATATCAGTTGTCAACTCAGTATTTATGTTGATGGCACAGCCATTTACTATTGTTTTAATAATAAGTATAATCGATTCGATAAAGTCATATTGGCAGTTGGGGCAAGGAATGGCATGTTAATTTTAATGTCTTCTAAACAAAACTGCTTTCTATTAATAATTTAAGAGAACCCTTTCTGCCTTCTATCAGTGTGGCTGATGCTAACCTCCAGGAGAGGGCAAACATTTTCTGCTGACAAGAAAATGGAAAGATTAAAATGAATCAATCGCTTGGTCTGCTACTAGGAAAGTTGATTCAATGTGGTCTACTTGAGAATTTTTCTTGCCAGAATCTATCTTACATATTTATAAGTTTACCATTCATCCAGCCTTTGAATATTGCTGTGCATATAGGTTGGTGCCCCTGATATATATTTAGAGATCCTTGATAAAATCCAAATAAGAATCTGCAACGTCATTGGTCCTCAACTGACATCTTGACTTCCTATCACTGTAATATAGCTTCCCTGTGCTTTTTCTGTAAATATTTTCATGGTAATTGTTCTGATGAACTTTCTTCTATGGTACCTAGGCTTTATGAATTTAATTGCAGTACTGGATTGGCAACAAGGTCTTATCTCAAATTTTTCACTTGTTGAACTCACTTCTGACTCCCTGCTTTCCTGGCAAGTTTGAGCTTCAAAAATTTAGATGCAATGTCAATCATTATTTTCTGTCTTCTTAGTTCCAGTTCTTTTGTTGTTTTCTTTTTCTTATCTTTAACATTCAGTAACTCTTTGTGTCTTAGTGGCTTTATTGCTTTTCTTGAGAGAAAATTAATATATATATATATATATATATATATATATATATATATATATATATATATATATATATATGTGTGTGTGTGTGTGTGTGTGTGTGTTTCATTCAAGACAACAGACAACGTACTGCTATTAAGCTTTTTATTTAATTTTTCAAACAAGTGTTTTCTTTTCTGGATACAGAGTGTGTAGAAACTGCCCAAAAGTTCTGTAATTACGAATGCTTACGGCTGTACTATTAGCCATTATCAAGGATGATTTGATTTTGACTTTTTAACTGGACATATGGGTTGTATGCATGTATCTAGAATTATAGGGATGTTTTATTTTCCAAACACAGTCAGCACATAGTGGCTGTGTTTGTACTTAATATTATTGAGTGTTGGATTTTTTCTTTTTTATTATTAAGGCTACCATTATTTTTAATCTTTTTTTACATGTGAATGAGGTTATTATGCTTGTATTTTCTACTAGTATGTTTTGGATGGAGTCTGGTAAGTTTGTGTGTGTGTTTATGTGTTCTGATTGAGCTGTGGTAGATTTTTTTGTTTGGGTCAACTGGGATAGTGTATTTCTTTATTTTCACTTAGAAATATTATAGAGAAATAAACAACCCCAGTTGACGCGAACAAAAAAATTAAATAATTATCTACTGTAAAAAATTTAAAACAGCTAACCTTATCCTTAAAAATGCCATTTGGAGTAAAAGCATTGTCACATTTCCCAAAACATCATTGAAAAAGCTTTAGAGGGGATTAAAATATAATTTTATATCAGGATATCATTGACATTGGTGTGTGCAGTAAAGAAGAGTTCAAAAGTAAAATGGAACAAGTTTTGAGAAAATTAACTAGCGCAGTATGATAATCACAATAAATGCAAGTTTAATTGAAAAATAATTTTGTACCTTGGTTATCAAATATCCAAAGATGGTATGTTGCCAGATGATGAACTCATTAATAAGATATCAGAGATAGCTGCACCCAGAAATAAAAAAAGAGAAACTTTTTTAGGATTAACCAATTTCTATAACAGATATCTGATAGGATATAATGACCTTGTGGAACCATTTAATGAAATAAGGAAGACGAATACTGAGTTTCAATGGACAAAAAGACAAGAGATTGTTTTCAAGAAATTAAAAAAAGGCACTCATAAACAAATCAATTATTAAAATTTTTGATCCAGCAAAAGAATTGACATTAATTACTGATGTCAATGAGTGTGTTATAGTTGCAATATTGTTATAGTTGCAATATTGTTGTAGAAGGATAACTCTGTAATGTACTTATCCAGAAAACTAACATTGGCAGAGGTGAAATTTTTTAATATTGAGAAGGAGGCATTGGCAATTGTGTGGAGCACAGAAAGAGCTAGAAATTTTTTACTGATATGGCCAGATATTGTTGAAATGCTGACAGAAATTATCTGAGGCATTTCCCTGTCACTTTGGCATGGGTTTTGTTCAACTAGTATTTTCAGATGCTGATTGTCAATTGAAGATGGACATCCTCTACTACGTTGATCTTTAAAATTTGTATCACCACTGCAAAACTTCAGAAACCAGCATTGTACTATCCAATTACAAGTGGATCCTTCACTCCATGCTCTGTTAATGTTGGCAACAGTTTGATAAGCATTATGGCCAAGCTTGAACACAAGCAAAAAAGGACTGCATCTCTTCTTTTTTTCATATTCAAGATGAAGGGTATACAGGGTGTGATGGATAAATTGTCATCTAAATTATATAAAAATGAAAATAACACTCATTTTAACAGATATATTTACTAAAATTACACAAAAATATTTTGAAATACTAAAGAGTAAATTTATGCAATAAAATTGGCATTGGATTCAAACAGGGGCTCTGGATGACTTTGAAATCTCCTGCAACTCTTCTGGACAGTTTCCTTGTTTAAGTTGGTGAATGCTGTCATAATCTTTGCCTTCAGTTTTGGGTCTGGGACTGGATTTACATATTTGGGCATTAATGTCTGAAAACACATAATTGGATGACATTTAATTTTGGAAAAAGAGACAGACATTATTGAGAGAGTTCATTAGAAGTATTTTTATGAGCACTTTACAGCAAAGTAATAAATTTTCAAAAAAGATGAAAATTTGGGGTTTGGGACTGAATTTTCATATTTGGACAGACAGATATTACCAGACTTGTCATGACTCAT